GTTTCTCGGGCAAACCCCGGGCTATGCGCGTACTACTACTACTACTACTACTACTACTACTAGTACTACTACTACTACTACTACTACTACTACTACTACTACTGCACTACTTCTACTTCCACTTCCACTTCCACTGTGACCGCACAGCCGTAAAGCCGCGGAGCCTGATGCCTAAAGCTTTTTGCAGCCATTCCATGCTTGTCGTCAAGCCGTCTGTTTTCCAGAACTCAGAATCTTCATCCCTTCAAGCCAATGCACTAAGACCTGATCCCTGACCCAAAAACTCGAAACTGTGAGTCAGTGGGGCTTTTGTCTCTCGATGGTCTGCTCCTCATTGGTTCCGATACACACTGGTTGAGGCTGTCCTGGTTGCCGCCGCAATCATAGCCTACCTACTTACTACAAGCCCCTGATCCTCTAACTATACTTCACATCTGATGCCAGGTTTCGCCTGTGAACTTTGCTCACTGTGTCGGGCTGTTGGGGGACTTCCTCAAAGGAGTGGGCGTCCTGAATGGCTGAAGTTCATGGAAGTGTCCGCGCAAAAGCGCTTTGTTTGCATGCTTCAAGAGCGAATGCTTCAGCGAGGGCCGATGTGCAGAGGTGTACACAGTGTTCACGTCTGCTGTGTTCCCAAATTCGTTATGGAAAAGCCGGTGCTGCTCTGGGTCGTGCAAGCATAGATATAAGATGCTCGTATTTACCTGCCTGCTTCAAACGGTGTCAGCATCCAAGCTTTCTCCATCACTGGCGTGCATCATTTCTTGATGCGGGGGAGTCTCAATCTGAACTGGCGCTGTGCGCGGCCAGCTTTCAAGCAATTTTCGAGCTCGAGGCAGGCAAAGAGATCAGTTTTGCAAGGCCGATTCTGCTTTCCTCCCACGTTTGATTTGGCATGTGCCTCGATGCTGCCTCGCCTAAAGCCGAGTTATGCTCCAGAACACAGCTTGAACCATACGTCAGCAAGCAGATATGTCAGTGCAGACTAGGTGACGCGTTTGCATCGTAGTTCTGCCAAGATGGCGGACCGAGATGGCAAAGAGACCCGTGGCACAGACTTGCAGCCTGCATCTGGGCTGCGTGCGCTCCGCGTGCGGCGCCTGAGTGGCGAGCCCGTTTGCGAGCTCCGGGTGCCGGTGAGCTGGAGCGATGCTCGGCAGCAGATCAAAGAAATTCCGCGAGCTATGCAGCAGCTTCTGGAGGCTCGCAAGTGTAATTCTTAGGGCAGTTGGAGCTCTGAGGTAGCGCAGCTTCGTTCGGCTTTGGCCGAATCTTTGCCTGAGAGGGAGCAGCGCCTGATCTTCGAAGGCGCATTCTCCGGACTTCAAGACTATGTACTAGTAGCAGAAGCTGCGCACCTAATGACAGATCCACGTGTAGCAATAGCGGAAAGCTTGCGTACTCCGGATAACAATGCTGTATGTCAGTGCTTTCCTGTGCCTTCCTCCACCTTTGCTCATTGGTGCGTTTGCTGACCCAAAAAAGCTCTCTGCACGGAGCCCTTTTAGAGCTCGGCCATTCCGCTATCATTATACAGTCTCTCCGGATTTCGGTGGTGCCCATCCTGCCCCCACACAGTAGCTGTCCTTCGTTTGGTCTAATCTGTGGCTGGACACTTGCAAAACTCCTGCTGGTGCAATGTCTCGCATTGTATGATAGACTTAGCAAGAGGACTTAGCAAGGGACCCGCCGACCAGCTGTTCTAAACAGCCATGCAGAGTGTTGGCACCTGCGCCAACGCCCCAATGGCACTGTTGAGAGTGCTCACTGACATGGACCTTTTCACCTCTTCCCTTGCCTTTGTGACTCCGATCTGCCTTGTGCGATTGGGTCGGGCATGCAGAGCGCTACAGATCGCGAACTGTGAGCAGGTGCTTGGGTTTTTGGGCTCAGCTGCAAGCTCCAGCCGCTGGCGCGAAACATCCTTGATGCCTAAGGCAGGTGAAAAGTGGAGTCTTGAGCGACTTCATCTCTGTTTTGCACCACCGCAATTTCCGCTCATACATTTTGACTTCGCAAACGATGCTCTGGATGAAGAGGCAAGGCAAAGCTTGGAATCGGTTGCTGAGATCTTGCGGAGGCATCCCGGCCTCCGACTGCTCGTGAGAGGCTATGCCCGCCCTGAAGCTCCGCCTGATTTGGGCATCGCACTCTCTCAGGCACGGGCCGCGCGGGTGCGCTCCCATTTGCTCGGCCTCTTGGATCCAGGCCGCTGGCAGGAGGATGCAACCGAAGGTCTCCGACAAGGTGGCTACAGCGAGGGAGATCCAGATCTGGATCGTGTTCTGGAGTTCTACAGGCCACGTGTCGTTGGACGGAGGATTCGAGCCGTCGGCTGCTGGTCCGAAACTGACATGGTTTCCCGGCGTGCTGGTTTGGGTGGTGGACAGTCCGCTGAAATCGTCGTCGACGGCTTTCAAGAAAGTTCTTAAGGCATGCAGCATGATGCAGCGTGCACAGTTCCAAAGTGTTTGTGCAGGCAATGCTAGGCTGTTAGGCAGGCTTTCGACCGCGACTTCACCAGGAATGCAAGACCGTCTCTGAAAGTTCAAGATGCATTGAAGCTGTGGGTTAAACAGCTGAAGAGGCCGAGAGCTCAAGAGCAATGACTGCCTCGGCGAGCTCTCCCGTACCGATGAAGCAATCGAGCTGACGCTCGTCAGGCTGCAAGCAGTGCGCGTTGTGGGTTCAGAATTAGTTGGCATGCACGGCGTATGCTCCTTGTGGGGAAGGGCAGCTGGACAGGCACTCCAATCTACTCCTCGGTGTCCCCCCAGCTCTAGTACTCGTGCAAAGAGTATACTAGGCATCGTACATCACGCTGGGAGTGCAAGAACAAGAAGATAGTACAAGCATTCTTGTTGATGGGATTGATTTCCGAAGCATCCGTGAGGCCAAAGTGCATTGGGCAAGGAGATACCTTAGACGGTTTGAGCAGATTCAGCGAGTTCATGCAGTTGAAGAAACCAGGCAAGTAATTCGCCCAGACAGCGAGTGCTACGCTGAGAGACGCCAAACAGTGTGCGACAGGAGGCCTCCTTTGCAGGCGTCCTGGCTTGAACGTGTCGAGGTGGGGGTTGGAGCGGGGGGTTTGGAGCCATGTCGAGACTTGGCAGCATGTTGCGCAGGCGTCTGCCGACCAGCTGCGAAAAGCTCCTAGAGCGATCCGCTCCGACCGAGAGGCAGCGGGAATCAAAGACAGACAGAGAGACACACACACACACACAGAGACACAGACACACAGACACAGACACACAGAGACACAGACACAGACACAGACACAGACACAAGACACAAGACACAAGACACAAGACACAAGACAC